GACTTCTTTCTTGGATTCACAGAGGCTTCTCGTAGACACGGCAACAAGTGAGTCTTCGAACAATGGGACTCAGAACAATGGAATGCGGGCTCGCGGACTTCGGCCGAAGCCCATTGCCCAAGCTTGTGCTGGTGATATCTGTCAGCTCGCTTAAGGATTTCCCCGGATTTTCAGGTATGGCGTGTCACAGTTAGCGAGCGCGCTAAGTGTTCTCAGTGCCAGTGCAATCTTCAAGGTTTTATCTAGCTCCCACGAGTGTGCCTGTAAGTTAGAGCCTAAGGCATTGGGTATAGGGTTTGGCCTTCTCATCACGCATGCCCGTCAGGTACAGTGCTGTGACTAAGTCCTGTTTAGAATCCCATTGCTTCTTATGCCATAAGTTATATTCCATATCATTGCACCGCGTAGCATTAGTGTCGACGCGTAGTTTTAGTCCGCTCGCTCACTATTTCTCAGTATGCGTGTAAAACACTCTAGATTGCAAAATTACATGTGTAAATAGGCTGCAGTCGCAACAGCGGACAAAGGCCTCGTGTTCTCTCTCTCCGAGATTAGCGATCTAGACGTGCTGAGTCGACTTTAAGTCAAAAAGACCTCATCTAGTTGAAGTAAAATAAGCCCTAGAACGCTTTAAGTTCGAACAATCGTCGAGTTCAAGGAACTCCAGAGTCTGTGTACTCTTTGCAAGTCTTGTACTTGAAGTCAGAACCTGAGCATTCTTTGTAGAGTGATTTTGCACTCTTTGTAGACCTCGGAGTCTTTGGTTGTTTGATTATTTGAAGTGTCCGCTAGAAGCTCTTCTAGACGACGTCGAAACAAGCATAACTTGCTCGACTATACCTTACAAAACAAGTTCATAAAACCCCGCTATCGCGGACTAGTGTACTTTGTGTAAAACACATCGAAAGAAGAATTGAAGTTGTTTTCAGACAAAACCCCACTAGATTATCTAAATCTAAGTACATTGCGAGTGCTTCTATCGTACTCACCCTCGAACTTATATACATTGGTGATTGTGTGTGTGTGTGTGTGTGATTTAGTATCTAGATTGACGATCTAGACGCTTGTTTCATTTGCGCGCTGCCTGTTACCGAGCACATCAATGGTATATCTGGACGACATCCTCATCGCCTCCAAAACCAAGGCAGAACACCGACGTATCGTTCACAAGGTCTTACATATCCTACAGTGAAAACAAGCTGTTCTTGAAGGCGGAAAAGTGCGAATTCGAGGTGGAGGAAACTGGAGTACTTGGGAGTAATAGTCAGCGAGGGAAAAATTCATATGGACCCCGTTAAAATTGCCAGGACTCCTAGAGTGGCCCAGTACCCCTGAAAGAAGCAAGAATTACAATCTTTCCTGGGGTTTTGCAATTTTTACCGGCACTTCATCCTGAGACTACAGTAAGCACTGTGAAACCCCTTACCTCCCTGATGAGGAAAGACGGAGTGGGGGTGGGGAAAAGCACAACAAGAGGCATTCGAAAAGCTCAAGGAGTTATTCCTGGGAGGACATGGTTCTGGCTATCCCTCTCGATAAAGGAAAGTTCTGAGTTGAAGCCTGATTCAAGTGAGGGGGCCATAGGAGCCATCCCTGTCCCAGCAACTGGGATGACAAGTGGAGGCCAGTAGCCTTCCTCTCAAAATTGCTATCCGCTATGGAGTGCAAACTATGAAATTTATGACAAAGAGCTGCTAGCCATCATGATAGCCCTGGACGAGTGGAGGCATTACCTCATGGGAGCCCAGGAAGACTTTGAGATATAGGACGGACCACTCCAACCTGCAGTATTTCCTGCAAGCCCCAGAAGCTTAATCGTCGACAAGCGAGGTGGGTTACCTGAGTTGGCAGAATATCAATTCACCTTGCACCACAAACCTGGGGCCCAAAATCAAAAGGCGGACTTACTATCCAGGAGAGCTGATCATGACCAAGGAAAGGAGGATAACATGTGATGTGGTGGTACTCAAAGCAGAACATTTCCGAGCAGCTTGTCATGCCCACCATGGAACAGATTCATGAGAAAATCAAGTTAGCCACTCACTGACCCAAGGAAGTGGGACCTGGGGAATCTCTGATTCTCTTAATCATGAGAGAGGGAATCACCCGGGAATCAAGGAATGCTTTGGTACGAAGGGTGCAGATCTATATCCCTATGGACCTGACAGCTGCGAGGGGAGCTTATCGCCTTAAAACATGACCACATTACCGTGGGGCATCCAGGTATCGAGAAAACAAAAGAAATGATTCTTAGGGACTATTGGTGGCCTCAGGATGCAGTCGAGACGTAGAAGCCTATGTCAAGGGGTGTGAGGTCTGCCAACTGAACCAAGGCAGACCGGAAACCAAAGAGGGCCCCTCTCCATCCTAATGAAGTACCTACCAGGCCAGTGGACGCATATCTCGGTCGACATGATCACCAAGCTCCCAAATTCCAAGGGGTATGATTTCATCCTCGTCATAGTGGACAGATTCTCCTAAAACGATAATCCCCATCGCATGCACTGAAGAGCTCACTTCATTGGGCTTCGCCAAGCTTCTACGAGACCATGTCTATGTACCCTATGAAGTAATGCCGGAGAAGGTCATTTCAGATAGAGGGGCCATTTTTGTGTCCAAATTCATGAAAGAGTTCTACGCTCTTCTTCAAATTACGGGTAACCCATCCACTGCCTACCACCCGCAAACCGATGGACAGACGGAGAGGGTGAACCAAGAAATAGAGAAATACCTCAAGATGTTCGTAAATTATCGGCAAGATGATTGGAGCGACTGGTTACCGCTTGCCGCTTTCACCCATAATAACCGAAAACATTCGGCGACTGGCTTTTCTCCCTACAAAGTAGTTTTTGGAAGGGATGGGCAGGTGATTACCACTACTCAACATTCCGGAGTCGTGCCCGCTGCATCAAAGTTGGTGCAGGGGATGCAGGAGGTTCAAGAAAAGGCAAAGAAATCCTTAGAGAAAGCAGCAGAAACAATGAAGCACCAGTACAACAAGGGAAAAATAGTTGCTGTCGAATACCAACCAGGAGATAAGGTTTGGCTAGACACCACCAACCTTCACCTTCCTCGACCAGCATGAAAGCTTGACGATAGATGGGTGGGGCCCTTCGAAGTAATCACCAAGAAGGGTGCGTCCTCTTATGAGCTAAAGCTGCCAGCCAAGTGGAAAATTCACAACCAATTTAACAAATCCCTCCTTACACCATATCTGCCGCTCGCATTTGAAAATCAACCAAGGCCGGAAAGACCTCCCCCAGAACTTATTGATGATGAAGAAGAATATGAAATCGAAGAGATAGTTGATGAGAGGGACAAGGTAGTCGGGCGAGGACGAAATTGCAAGACTATCACAGAATATTTGGTCAAATGGAAAGGGTACCCCAATGAAGAAAATACCTGGGTACATCGCTCCGACATGGCTAATGCAGAGGAACTGGTCAATGAATACGAGGTGCAGCACTCTCATAACACCTTAGCCCCCATCGGAAGCGTGGCCAGATCAGGTGTGGGAAAACGAGTAGGACTGGTGTCGATGACTTCATCTTTTCAACGGTTGGTGGTCGAAATCGCCCAATCCATGGACAAAGCCCTCCAAGAAAGGAATGCACGATACAGAAGAGAAAATCCCGACGAAGGGTATGAACCAAGTCAACCTCGCCCCCGGCGGCAAATGGATCCAAGACTCGACAATCCACGCGTACGGGACTCATACCTGAAGAGGCAAAAAATCGAAATTGAAGCCTCCCGACGAGAGCAGAGACCATATAAAGACCCTCCAATCCTGTTTGACATTCCGACCAATGACAAATCCGATGTAAACCTACTCTAAAGAGTAACCGAAAACTGGAATGACGATGACTGAACTTCGGACATCTGGTCATACGAATCCGTAGAAGAAGGATCTGATAACTCATTCGGGACAAATGAGTCTTAAGAGAGGGGTAATGTTACGGTTTATTCTTTTTCTTTTTCTTTTTCTTTTCTTTTGCTTATGCTCAAACCCACGATCTTTGGACCTGTTCCCACAGTACTATTTTTAGTCTAGTCATTGTGTATTTAAGGAAGGCCTCAGCTGGGCTAAACCCCAGCTTCGGCTAAGGTTTAATCTACCCAACTCGAACTCCGCATTTTCGCGTCTATCTAAGTTCTCCATCTGCTCATCCCTATACATACTTAGGCCTGCGAGTGTATCGATCCACCGAAGTGCGAGTGGTGATCCTTGCTTGATCTAGTGTGTAGAGTTGGTGGCTAACATTAAATAAACAGAGATAGTTATAATCCTGAAATCATATTCAAAATGTATTGCGAACATTGATTTGACATTTATTCATATTAAGCAAGAAAGGTTTTATAAACCTCTGTAGCAATGCCCCGTGATACCAATGACTCCATGGAGTCTTCCTCACACACTGGCATTTGAAATACTGACAACTTCTTTATCCTCTGATCTGGCAGTCTCCATCCAACTACCCAGCATAGTATCCCATTATTAAAGGATACAGTACCTAGCAATGTGTACAAGCCATCTGGTATTGGGTACTGATGATGAGCAACAATCTTAAATACACATTTATCCTAGTAGAGTCTTTGACAACAAGCTCTCCCCATCGCTTCTGCTCTTGCAAGTCTCTCATGGACAATCCTTGCACAAAGGCTGATTCAATAACATATGACTCATAGAAGGAGTCAATACCTGACTTAGCATGCGGGTCTTCAAAATAAATGAATGGATAGTCTGTTGGAAGCTTTCTAGTCATGATCTGCTTCCATGATGGCTGCCAAAATCTGTTTCCATCCCCAGGTTCAGGATACAGGAAAAGTAAATGTCCTTGAGAAAAGCACCCTGTTTCATTCACCAGTACTATCTATGCATCCTCCTCAGACTGATTTTCATAGTATGCTGGTATGGATGTTGAGTATAAAAGGTATGCCATCCCTGCAACTTTATCCATAGGATTTGTGGACACCCTGCTTCTGCATCTGTGACAGCCCTTCATACACACTATGTTGTTGTGTCTGCAGCAATGACAGTTGTTTCTCAAATCTCACTTGTAGTTCTTCATCACCAGTGCTCCCACCAATGATCATATTCTTGTTGATCTCCTGCAGTGTCCAGGCACTGCTTGAACCAGCACTGGTCACTCTCAAAATTATCAGCCTCAGAACTCAAAGGCTGACCCAGCCCACTTAAATAGCACACCACTTTCTCAGCCTGTTGATAAACATATCCAATGGTGGGCACATCCACTTTCCACTCCTCTACTCGCAGATCTTCTCTGTGCCCCCCTTTCTGTCTCAAGCAGAGCACATCCAGCCACACATACTCTGCTCCCAGATTCAACATCTCAACCCTGGACATGTTCCAGGCTGGTATCTTTAGGGATTGGCACAGGCCATTCATATCCATTAATAGGTGTTAACACATCCTCACGATCTTCTTCATCCATCCATGCATGTGATATTCCCCACAGTGGTTGCCAGCCAACTGATGATGGCACTACCCGATTACTAAATAGATCCCAGATACGCCGAGGAGGTACACGTGAGTAGAGGATTCTGTCTCCGACAAGTACATCTTGCAAGCATCTTTTGGATGCCGCACTTGGCGCTGATGTAAATAATCCATTCTCTTGGTATCCCAGGGTGAGCCTTTGTCTAAGTCATACCAAAATGGGCGGAGATGGGCATATGCAATGCCAAAGTCATAGTTTTTTGAGATGCAGTCTCCAAGAACAGAGTCTACCCATGGAGTGTGCAGAGTGTATGATGTGCCAAGGATAGCATTGAACCTCTCTAAGAGTCCTGAAATGGTGAGGTCGGTGCAGAGAGTGTCAGCAAGAGCGGATGGTATGACAGGCATCCTGCCAGAGTAAGACTGTTGCTTCAGCACTGGATTGGGCAGCTCTTGGCCTGCCTCGGTGGCAGGGGAGAGGGAGACATTGGGGAGACCCTCATACTTGACGGGCATTCCCCGCTATACACTGCATTATTTACTGCCCTTCTTTTCATGTTTTACATGCTTACATTGATGCTCATCGGCCCATAAAGGTCCTCTATATAATGGTGAAGCCATTCTTCCAAATCCATTTTGAGTGCTCCTAGTCATAGCCAGAATAAGAACGCGAGATATCGAAAGTAAAACAAGAACGCATACTAGTGCGAGTTCAAGAGGTCAATGGTGTACGGGATCAAGCTGCGGCTGCACTGAGGCTGTACCCAAAGCCACGAAATGACTCACATGATGTACCGGCCTGTGTCATCAGGCCACCCTACGGCAAGATAGACGCCCAGGAATTCAATTCCGGCCCGCTTGAAGACGATGCATTATTTCTGAGAACATGTATACATATTGAGACGGGCGCGCAAAGAAGAGAACTGCGAAACAGTGTGTCATACCTGCCCCTTTGCCCTTTGTAGAATCCTTAATATTTGATGCAAAAACTACTGCAAGGATATGGTGTTTGCTACAGTACAATTGCGTAGTGATATCACTTCCTTCTGGTATACCTTCTATCCCCATGCATCGATCTTCCCCCTCCTTCCCATCGATCTCCTTCGCTTCCCCGTGTATCCGGGATCCCAATGTCCCAATATCCCACCCTGCGCCCATGCCCCGATATCGCCTTCTTCCTGCGTGCGTAGCATTCTGCTTGAGACGAGGCCCGACGCCTTCGTAATGTTATGCGAGGAATCGTTAGTGAACCGAGAGGTATAGAAAAGATGAACGTCACAACAACACCCGCAATCCCCCTCATAAAGTTAGCGCCGCTCATCCTCGTTGCAGACGACAGCGCCAAACTGGAAGTCGAGCCCGTTATTGTGCTTCACATAGACGGCAAAAGTTTCCTTGATCATCCTCTCTTTCGAATCTTTTGCATATCGTCCACGCTGAAGACACGGCGTTCTCCCTCTCTGTTGACGGAGCAGACGGTATAGAGTGAGGACAGTGGTGTTCATGACTGAGACGGTGACCCGGGAATTTCTGCGGTAGTTCCGAGGTGATCTTCAGTGTCGATGGAGCTAAGTTACTGTCAGCTTCGCATATGGGAATTCCGATCCAGTCGACGTACATGGCGTTAATGAGAAGACGTGTGTTGAGCGAGGACCACATTGCTTGATATCATACATAAGGCTAAAGACGCAGCTTTAGCATCGCACAAATGAGTTGAATGGTCGATCCGTACCTCGACCTTGGAAAGGCACTTTAGACATCAAAGTCGGGCTCGATACCCGGCTAGCATAACAGAGGTGACAGAGCGAGAGGCGCGGGGACCGAGATCCTCTTCCACGTCTACGAAGGACTAGCTACGTTAATGATGGAAGCGAAGTGAATTCAGGTTGATTCCCCTTGTTTTTCCCATACAAATTATGATCTTCGTATGGATACAAAGCTGCCTGAATATGAATGAAGATACCCGCACGGATTGACATCATGCTTACCATCGTCCACGGCCCCATCGTCATTCGAAACTCGTCGTCCTTTTCGGAATTTGCCAGGCCTTGAAGTCGTGTCGTTTGTATACTGCAGCCGCACATTAGTTCTTATCATCGTATCGGGACCTTAGCTAGGCCACGGGTGAAGTGAGTGGCTAAAATTGCGCCAAGATGAAACATGCCTTTTCTTCCCTGCTGCTTGCCAGAGTCGGATTCTCTCCTCTAAGCATCAAGCCTGCAGATAGCCCCTTTCATTCGTTGTACGACGGAGCGCCACGCTCAGCGTTGTCGACCACGAACAGCACCTCCTGAAAATCGGTAAATCCAAAGGCCTTGATAAGGTATCCAGTTACGTCGCTGAGACAGTTGAGCGTAGAATACTTGAGTCAGGCCTCGGGTGTCATAGCTTCTTTGCAGTGAACGCTAGCTTGAGCGATGGAGAAAGTCGCGCCAGGTGATGATGGTAAGAGTCGAGGGAAACGTGGGAGATCAACAAACAACCCCTGACCTTGAAGTTGTACCACCATCTCATCTCGGCACGGTACGCCGGATGCAAGGATACAGGTAACTGCACTACGAAACAGGCCTCATCCTCACTACCATCTAGTCAAGAGCTCACGATCGACCAATCCAAGTTGAGCCACCCAGGCCGTTGTAGAACTTGAGCTTGAAGCGGATGAGAAAATATGCTGGCATCACGAACTCGCAGGATGCCCACCAAAGGACAGAGAAGCACACCAAATCGGATTTTCAAAGAAGGACGGTAATACAACATCACACCACAACATACGATCAAGAGAGGTCAGGAACCTCCCAATCAATCCACTGCGAATCCGCAAACCCAAGGCCATTCGCCCCATCCGTCTTGATGATATTCGTATCCGCATTCTGATCCTTCAAGAACCTATTCACGAACGCGTCCAAATCCGGCTGCTCCTGACTGGGGAACGCACAATGCGAATGGTTCCCCACCTGCGAAACACCCATGAAATCGCCCACACCAAGTCCCTGCCAAACCAAGTTCGCCGTCTTCTGACAACCCCAAACCGACTCGGGACCCAACCAATCAATCCCGGTGTTATCAATGACGAGAAGGGCACGAGGAGCGATGAGTCCCGAAAGCATATGATGATCAAAAGGCAAAGGGTCGACGCCAGATTGAGCAAAAGTGTTGAATGCAGTAGAGAACCAAACGTTCTCCTGAACGATCTCGCTAGCCGTTTGCGTGTCGATCCCATTAGCCAACATCGAATCGGAAATCCTCCAACATCCCGCACCACCACTCCCCGATTCCTGAGGGATCGTTAACGCGATCCTCGGTTCGAAAGCCCCGGCAACAAGAGCACCCTTCCCGTTCCTCGAACAACCCGTAACACCAACCCTCTCAAGGTTGATGTTCGTATTGACCTGTTCCAACGCATCCATAATCCTCGCAACACCCCAGGCCCAAGCCATCAAAGCCCCAGCCGAATGATTTGATCCATAAAGCGTAAAGAACTTGCCTTGTCCACGCGACGATCCATCATTCTGTGCCGCGATATCGTCGTTGTTGAACGAAAGAATCGCCACACCCGAAGGTTGAGGAAGGCTAAGGAACCCTCCAAAAACGATGAGAGCGGGGAAAGGACCGGAGCCAGAAGGCGTCTGAATCCCGATGTTGAAAGAGATCGATTGTCCGCCGTGGGAAACGTCAATGATGAGAGTATTATTTCCGGAGAGGGTGCCGACGACGGATTCGGGGCGAGGTGGGAGTTCACCGAGTTCGAAACGTCGGAAAAGAGCGCTGATCTCGGCTTGACGACAGGTGAATTCGTCGGCGGTGGTTACGGCGGTTCCGTTGAGGAAGGTGAAGGGATCGGGGAGCATGCTATCGGGTGTGAGAGAGATATTTGACGGGAGGTTACCGCCTGTACAGTAAAACAAGAAAATGAATGGGTCTACAGAATTATAAGGAGATAAATAAGTGAAAACTTACATTGCGCGAACGCAGACGCGGCGAAGAGAAGAGACGCGGCAAAAGAGGTTTTGATAGTCATCGAGTGATGCAGCCCAAGAATGAACAAGGGAAGCGTCGCTGCTTTTGACCATGACTACACGATGCTTTTTATACCTGCTAAAGCTTCCCGTGCGTCTCCGTCAATCACTCCAAAAATAAGGAAATTTCCAGACGCTTCCATTTGTCCGAAAACTTTGCGTTCGACGTCTTCATGAAAACAACTGGAAAGACGGGCTCGAGGAAGGAAAAGAAGCTTTAAATTCGAGAAGGATGCCCAAGACCAAAGTCGATGCGACAAAATTAAGTTCCATGGGGTCTCGAGTCGTCATCAAACGGCCTCTAGAAAGACGGGATGACAGAATAGGAAGATTTCGAAGATCGTTAATCAGGTCCTACGGGAAACATCCATACAAACGCGCAAAAATAGATGGGAAAAACAATCGGCACGATCCACGAGAATGATCACGCGAGTTGGGGCGGGCGGGCCACGACGTGCCGCAACATATCAGATGAGGTCTCTTGAGCTGTCTTCGCCTCTATTGAGTCCCGAGGTTAACGCGCAATTGATGGTTAACTCCAGTTTACGCTGAAGTACTCCTTCAGGACGTTGGAAGCGTGTATCTCGACATTTCTCAGCGTGTCTCCACCAACGATCCTTGTCCTTCTCTAGTTCCTCCTCCCACCATCGATCTGCGGCGCGCTGGCGATCCTGAAGAGGGGAAGGAAGGTGCGGACGTTCAGAGAAGGTTAAGGGTAGGGAGGATCGGTGAATTTGGCCAACCACCGGTAATGATGGTGGTAGGCATAGTAAAGGGCAGCGTAGGACTCGACGACGGATGGACGACCACCGAAGAAGGAACCTGATGCTCTTTCGTCAACGATGTAGGCATGTGAAGAAGAAGACGCACCTTGGCTGAAGTCGACTTTGGCGTCGGCTGGTACTTGGTCGAGACCATATGGGACATCGGGATGAACACCAACTCTGGATCCTCCTTCCTTGCAGTATCACCCGTCCTCTCCACAGCCACGGCGGAGCGCCTTTTCTAGATCCTCAATCCAATGAGCCATACTCGCCTCCTGTCCAGTTACAGTTGAGCATATCCTGCTCGAGTCTGCCGTAGCTTCTTTGTAGTGCTCCTCATTGAGGACCTTGTCTCACGCTAGCTCGAGCGATGGAGAAAGTCGCACCGCCGATGCGAGGTGATGATGGTAAGAGTCAAGGAAACGTGGGAGGTCAACAAACAACCCTGAGCCGCTGATGCTTCCATCCGACTGTCTCCATTTTCGCGCTACTAAGTAAATTATTAATAAATTGGCGGCGTCTCCTCCCTCCGTCAAGTGAGGTCCCAAAGCAAGAAGATTGTATTATTTAGAAAAAGTAAAAAGGCTAGAAAACATGAAAGCAAAAGAATGAAATGCTGGTTTTAATTTACATAAAGGCTCTGAAGAGATTTCTCGCGTTTCCAGGGGAAAAGAATTGCGGCCCGATCGTAATCTGCCCGGTGCTCGAACGGGAGGGAGCCTTTTCTCGTCCGTAAGCGTAGCCTCCGATCCAACCCGTTGCGGGACCGACAGCCTCAAAGACTCGTGCAAAACCTAGGTACCTGCTGTGGGTAACCGCAACCCTAGGAGACAATATGCTGGAGTAGAGACGTCAGCACGAGAGAAACCAGGGGAGAAAAGGATATACCATAATGCAAACCTCGACTCGACGTCGTACACCATGGCTATCTTACTCAGCTGCAACGGGGGATGGTGGACGACGCTGAATCGGGCCTTGCACATCTTGAAGATCCAAGTTCATAGATGAAGATTAGCCCAACACGTCAGCACAAGGGATCTGCGACGTACTTTGTAGCACTACCTAAAGAAAAAAAAAGGCTGCAAAAGGACGCAAAGCAGTACCGAAGAATCGACATGAGATCAAAAAAGGACGGAGGACCTAACGCACCATATGCTCTCGACAATCCTGCCCGCAGTGTGATTAGCGAAACACGTTGATGACAGCATACCTCGAACCATACAGCACGCAAGCACCTCCTCAATCCCAGCCCACTCTGAAGAATGGCCGTCGAGCGACCACAACATCGAAATGGCTCACCTGGCTGGATGGGGGGCAGAGTCTCAATGAGCTTGCATGGAGGTGGTGGATGCAGATGGAAGCTTCCAGTTGTATGCGGAAAGGGCGTCGGGTCGCAAGTCATCGTACCAATGGGATTAGGCTACGGCCAGCTCGAAACGGTTGCCGAGCTTGGAGTAACGGTCGCTTGGGGCTGTTATATAGGCGCATATGTTGCAATCGTGTCCGCAGCCCTACCCACTGTCATCCACCCGCCTCCATTTTAGACCTTTGCCTTGCCTGCGTCTGTATCAAACAGAAAGGTCTTAAAGTCGCGCCATTTCGTTCGTACATTGCAATTGCGTGTTGCCGTCCGCTAGTAGGGCGATGGGGATCCCTATCAGAAATGTATAATCAGTGGGGAGCTAAAATAAAACATACCTTTCTTGCCTCAGAATCGGTTTCTCTCCTCTGCAACAAAGCCATTCGTCCATCGCACGTCAGAATGTCCTCAATTCGAGTGAACGCATCTCTGTCCTTGGCTGCTACGAACAACGCCTCCCGCAAGTCGCTAAACCCAAGGACCGTCCAATTCTGCTCATGTGTCACGGTTCCTTCTCGTCGCGCTCTTGCATGTGAGTTCTGGAAAAAGGTCGCGTGGCAACTGAGGGTAATGATGGTAAGAGTCGAAGAAACGTGGGAGCCAGCAAGCGTCACGATCGACGAACAATCCTCACCACCATGCTCTCCTCTTCAGCCCGCCCTTACCGCTACGAGCGACCTTCCGTACCTCCTGCACCGCCTATGAAATTGGCGACGTCTCCACTCCGTTCTCGTGATGTCTCCTCCCTCCGACGCAGCTACGTCTTCAGTCCCTCCGCCACGCCCACTCCCTACCACAAGCTCCCTAACGCATGCACGCTCTGCCTCCCCAACTTCAAAAGGGTCATACGGAACCGCAAAGCAGGGATCGTCATTGAAACTACTAGCGTACAGAAAATAATCATCTAGGAGTTATGAACCGAAAGAATAAAGAGCTCTCTAAAGAAATTCTCGCCAAGTTCCAAGGGGAAAGCACGTAAGACCACCAACAGTCAAAGCACAATCTCCCCGGTACGAGCAGGAGGGAAGGGCTGCTTCCCGTTCGCACCGTGGCCGAGCAGCTCTCCCGCTCAAGTTGGCCGATACGCCCACGTGTTACGAGTGAACCTAACCGTATAGCAGGAGGACGACAGACTGGAATGAAGGGACGTCAGCGCAGGAGAAAAGGACATACCATAAGTAAACCCCCCTCCCGAGACATGACTCGACGTCGTACACCACAGCCAGGGTGGTTTCCGCGTCTTTTAGGTCCAGGAGTGATTGATCCTAAACCGAAATGTGAATTGAAAGGCAAAGCTGTTCAGGCCTAACCCTACCTTGAGCATGGTCAGCAGAAGACACCGATGCAGAGAGTCGACAATATACCTCCTAGCTGTCGGCTCAACACCTTCTGCATACGCGTCCTTCCGTACATTGTGGTCATCCCCTGCGCACGTCGATCTCCGCATGCATACCTCCTGCAGGCACGGTCCTTCATTATCCGAGTACCTCTGTCAGCCCCGTAAATGGACGTCTTGCCAACCGTGAGCCCCATCAAACACAACCGGCCGCCACAACTTCATGGATATCCTTCCCCCAATTGCTGTCAGCTCATCGTTCACGCGTCTTTGTCACTGAGCGCTTAGGTTAGATAACCTGTCGTATCGAGCTCCACAAAAAAGGACCATGGACGTACGTCGAGGCCCAACACATCCCTATGCGAGCAATGTCATCAGTTCCCGCTGCCGAAAATAACCACAATAGACACATCGCTTGACGGAGCACCAAGAGGAATTGAGGGGCGCGTTGCCGTGTAATAGTAGCAGGAAGGGCGGAATGAGTTCGGCTCCTTCCCTCCGACTGTCCCTACTCTCTTCCGAAATCCAGAAACGCGGTAAAGGGAAGACGTAGGTCCATTAACGGATTGGGATGGGAAGCAACATTGGAACGTTGACAATTTCTGAGAGAGCTGTGGTGGTACGAGCAAAAGCGGAAGTTGCCGTCACCCGGACCCGCTTCCCTTCTTACCCCCTCCTTCAGAGTTTTCACTTCGTCTGTCTACTCGCCCGCTGTATCTTCTCTCCGTAATTTTATTTCTGCGGCATTTATTCAATTAAGATCGCGTGTTTCTCTGCCTGCTTGTTATACCTCCTCCATCGATGTTCGACACTGGGAGCCCTAGGATCGACACCCCAACACACAATATCGTGATGTCTCGCACCATCCCTACAGAACTGGGACTTCTGTCTGCCGATTAAAGCTTCTGATAGGGATCCCCATCGCACTGCTGCAATACACTAGCGAAATGGCAATAGCGCGTATAGACTAGGAGGCGGAGAAGGATAAAGACCACGCGATTGGCTGACAGTGGAGCCCGATTGGAGCGACCACGACATCACAATATGTGTCTGCCCAGTTAACAGCCTCCTTCAACGTGCCAACGACGAGCTCAAAGTCGAGCGTCTCCCCCCTCGACGCGCCTTTACCACTGCGCCCAAGTCTTCTGCTATACCTCCTGCACTCTCCGTTCTCACAGACATCTCCTCGCTCCCACACACTCCGCCGTCAGTCCCTCCATCGCGCACACCCTCTCCCGTACTCCCATGCGCGCCGTTCGACTTCAAGAGTGTGAGTCATATGGAATCACAAAGCAGGGAAACTACTAGTGTAGAGACTGGAAAGTTACGAAGCGAAAAGGAAAAAGGACGTAACTCTACCAGTATAATCTCTCCATATACGCCGGTGCTCGAACGGGAGGGTCCTTTGACCTTTTCCTGTTCGTGCCGCAGTCTCCCGTCCAAAGCCTGCTGGGCCTCGCGACTCACAAATACGTCGAGTCAGCACCAAGGTTTTGAGGTGATTTTTGGATCGAGTCGGCTTACCATGTTTGAGGCGGGAAGGCGCTGGGTGGTGAGAAGATTCGAAGGAGAGGATACTTCCACTCACAAAGACCTGTCCGTGAATACATGTCCCGTCGCCTCTCGTACGCGCTCTTGCCCATTTCGCTTAGGAATATCTGTCCATTACATCATCCGCCGCCCACTGTGCTGAGCTATCGATGAAGGCAACGAGGAGGACCATTACGGGGAACGCACTCGGCGAAAATGACATAGGTCAGGTTAGACCTTCTCTTCTGGCGTCGACGCGAGAGAAATTCTATTGGCCGAAAATGGCGATGGCACCGCTCGTCCTTCCTGAGGCTAAAGATGGCTCGTTCCTGGTCTTCCGTCACCAGATGAAGCCAAATTGCCTCCGTCTGACCAGCGTACCATCGATGCGGGAATATTTTTATTGAGCGAGAGCAGGGGTGGCATTACTCGTTCGTCCTGGGCTAAAGACCATCGTTCCTTGTCATGGAGCCGTTAGTGTCAGAGTTTAACAAGTCCTTGTTGGAGAATCTGATCTCTGAGTCCGATGTGTTCAGTCCCGAGGATGGATTTACAGGGCGCTCCCATCTATCTCGCATCATTGTTCGGCGTGGCAGATCCCTATAAGGAACAATGCTTTTACCGTATGACGATGGAAGTAAGTACAACTAGGCTCGGTGTTCTTTCGCTGTTCATACCAAGAAGACACACCGCCGTGGGGATTTCTCGCCGGAGAACCCAACGTATCATCACTCGCGCTGGTATCCCCCTATTGCCCCGAAGGTTAGATCTCCCTTCAAGCTGAAATCGAGCAGTTTATATAATGTTTTTCAGTGATCGATCAGCATCGAAGAAGATGAGCGCTTCTTTAGAACATTCATGCCTTTGGTTTGTTGAAATGATGAGTGCAATTTACATGCGACAATCGTCTGTTGAATGAAACTTCGGGACATGCGAGGAGACTCAGAGTTACCGGAGTGACGACGACAGTGTCAATTCAATTCTTACGGTAGTATGCTGTGTCACAGGCCGAGTCGACATCGGACATTCGAGTGGCATTGTGACGTGTGCCTAAACTATATCAGCGTTCTTTTAGTACCACTTGTGGCTGGATAACTGTTTCCTTCAAGATCGTTAACGCTGAGGGAAAGATGTGCGCTACTATTTCTGCAAGTACTCATGTGCCCGTCTCAAAGTCTCAGCAATAATGCTACTACCTCGTCAGGCGGGCCAGAATTGAATTCCTAGGCGTCTATCTTGCCGTCGGATGCGATACTGTGTGTTGATGGCCATCATGGCACTGTGCCGGTCCGGCAGAATCGGCTTCTGCCACTAGGACAGGGCATCTAAGCCTTTAGGTACAGCCTTGATGCAACCACGACTTGGCACCACACCCTATCTACGTTTCTGACATCACGCAGGTATGTGCGTTTGTGTTGCTTCCAATATGACATGTCCTTATTCTAGCTATGACTAGGAATACTCAAAATGGATTTTGGGCAATGGGCTAACTGTTATTATGATGATATTACAATCAACTCCGAGGGAAATGCCAATTAGGGCTTCGCACCGTCACCGTATAGTACGGTTGTACGGGTGCCGTCATACGGGTACCGTATCCGTTCCGTCTGGCAAAAGACTTTGCCCAGACACGGACGGTATACGGATATCCCGTCGCCCGTTAACAACCGTATAAAGACGGCCGTTATACGGCACTCGACGGCCGTGTGGGTTGTCTAAAAATAACCCTCATCAGAGCACGCTATACGTGTGTTTACCATGTGCTCAACATCGTACCACGATGCGCTAGCACTGCGATCTCTTCAACGCTACAGCTAGCTCTTATTTCGCTCGCTCACATGAAGCTCTATTTCTTATGGCAGGCATAAATACTTGCTCTTCCCTACTTCTGCTGCCTTTGCCCTACTCCTGTTCATCCCTTTACTACCCGCTCATGTTTCGAAATACATTGCCCACGGGTGGCCGGTGCACCTGTCAAATATGGCGAGTAATACATTTTCCCACTACCTTACGGCCGTATTGACGACCGGCACGGCCGTCTATATACCCGTACCGTACCGTCAGCCTAGTTCTGAGAGCCTTGACGGTATGGTATACGGACCAGCCGTCGCCCGTCACTGTACCGTGGCTATACGGCCGTATACCGTATACGGTATGGTGCGAAGCCCTAATGCCAATAAATCGGTAAGCATGTCAAAATGTGAAAGGAAGAGCATCAAATAATGTAAAGCACACTTCAAGCATAAGAGTCTCAGGCTCCCTAGTGTCACACTCTCTCCCCTCTCTGGGACAGGCCAAATGGCAACCATTCCAGTATTGAAGCAACAGTCCTACACTGGAAAGAAGCCCATCATTCCAGACACTCTTGCTGACATGCTCTGTGCTGACCTTGGCATTCAGGGACTCTTAGAGAGGCTCAACACCACCCTTGGTACATCATACACCCCATTCACTGCATGTGTATGCTCCATCTTTGAGGACTACATTGCCAAAAACTATGATTTTGGCACTGCATATGCCCATCTCCACCCATTTTGGTATGACTTGAATGACTTGGCCACTATGGTGTTACGGTTATTCTTTTCTTTTTCTTTCCTTTCTTTTCTTTTCTTTTCTTTTCTTTAGTCAGCCAGATTACGCGACGCGCGATCATCACGGACTGACTGCGCAGTAGTATTTTTAGATTACTCACGTGTATTTAAGTAGAGCCTCAGCTGGCCTGAACCCCAGCTTCGGCTAAGGTTAATTCTACCTAACATCGAACTCCGGCCTTCGTGACTATCTGTCCCATCGACTTTCATCGCCTTTGACTTACTAGAGTATCGTCTACCGAAGTGCGAGTAGCGATCCTAGCACGATCTAAGTCGATAGAGTTAGTGGCTAACATTTAGCCGAAGCTCGTCTTCAGTTGCCCAACGACGAACCGTTGCCCAACATTTTCCCTGTTATTCTCATCCTTGTTGTGGCACTCTCCGTGCTGCAATTTCTCCTAAACGACCCTCTAGGATTGGTCGTCGTAACCATCCTTCGAGTGTTCCTCGCTTGCGTATACATCCCATCCCCGGTGTTCGCAGGATTCCTCCTGCTACTCTGGGTCAGATTCCTACGCCATCATTAAAGCCATTAAACCCTTTATCCTCGCCCTCCAGCTCGCCTCTCTATTAACAATCGCATTGTTGATAGTAACGAGCTCTCCATCTGAAGACTCCTGTGAGGTCCAGCTGATGAACGGTTCCAACTACGAGACCGACCTCAGCCTGATCATCGCACTTCTCATTGTGCTCACCATCCTCGCTGTTTACCAGCTTGCATGGTCCATCGTCGACTTACGCCACGGATAGATCCCCGGACGAATGCCCTGGTCCGAATCCATTCTCGCCGTCTTCGCGACTTTTTTACTCTTTTTATTGTCCATTACTTTGTACCGGATACACCGTTGTTTTCGACAACAGAGGCAGGTCCGCGCACAACTCCCGTTCCATTATATCCCCAGCACTCCGGCGTATCCACCACCGGTAATCCACATTCCATCGGCATCCCAACAGACGATCGAAGATGTCGAGTCCAACACCTCCGAGAGACCTGGAGAGTCCCTCTACACATCGTCGCGACCCAGCTCGTGATCCTCAGAGTCGAGCACCGACTCCTACAGAAGCGCTTCCAGCGCACCAGCCGACTCCATCGACATCACCGATACCAGGGGGGTACTCCTCGAGCGAGGAGACTCGCCCTTACCAGGTCTCTTCGACCAGTCTCCAGTCCAAGACAAGTCTGGCGACGACGGAAGCAGAGGACAAGGCACCAGGAATCTGGTCGAGGGCGAAGAAAGCCCTGACACCGAGTTCGAAGGGGACGAGCTCACCGAGTGGGAAAGGACCAGACTCGACGACATCCTCAACAACCTCTACTCGAGTGAGGAGGAAGATGACACCGATCCCGGAAGCTCCACCCACTCAGGGTGGGGACGCACGGGCACATGGAAAGAGGTCCGCGATAGGAGGATCGCGGCCGACAATGCAAGAGATCGCGCAAGAATGGCGCGCAACAGGGGTCGCCGAGACGACTTCTACGACGATCCCGGAGAGCTTAGCCTCGGAGCCTCCGCGGCTACCACCGGTCCAGCTCACCCACAGTCTGTTCCAAGGGCCTGGCCAACCGATAGAGGACCCCCGGTCGCCTGGTACCCCGACACCAGTTGGGTCTACGCCGACGACGGGGAAGAGGCTCCTGTGGCCAGAGTCGCGACCAGAGGAGAGCCCGAGGCCCCAATACTCCCTTCCTCCATCCCCCCGCACGAGCCGACGGATGGGGAGCTTTGGGGCGAGTTCCCAGATTACGACGCTGAGGAACTTAGAACAGTTACCTCTTCCGAGCGTCTCGCCGGAGTCTCCAACTGGGAACCGTCGGTCGCGTCGCGAGCCTTCGCCGACCCCGTCCCTCTATCCCAGCGTCCGTGGCTGCTCCTCTATAACACGTACGTCAAGTCCCTCCGACTCCCTCGAGATGCCCGGGAGTCCCCAGAAGTCGAGGCCAGAATGGACCGCGGCCGAGCGCACGATGCATGCATCCGACGCGCCGAGGAGGACGCCCTCTACGGGCCCAATGGCTTCTGGGACCTCCCCCTCGAGCCCGACGCCACCCCCACAGAAGTGGACAACCGAATCCGGGCCGCCGCCATCCGCTACACAGGCTACGCCCGAAGGGCAGGAACCGACCTCGAGGCCAGGGCCCGAGCCTGGAGAGTCTATCAGGAGGAGATCTCCAATGAGGACTCCGACATCGGGAGGTGGAGGCGGAACAAGGAGCTTGACCGACTCGCCCGAGAGAGGCAGGAGGCCAAGGATGCCGAGTCGGCCTCCCAACCAGGCCCTCGAACCGGTAGTAATGGCGGCGGTAACTCAGGTCATGCTGCAGGGTCCGAACCTGCGACCTGATATCTTCAATATTCTCCCGTGGCATGGGTTATACGAGATTATCATGGAGCATATGGAGAAGGACCCCCAGTGGCTATTCACTGACGCGGGGGTCGACTATCAAGCAGCAAAAAGCATAGGGGATGTATACCTCATGAAGAATATACTCGAGGTAGAAACCTGGCACCGGGCTGCCATCGTATGGAACATGATGAACCCCGAAGCGCCGCAACGAGGGTGTGAGCCTTATCGGCGGCCACAACCCATGCCTAACCCGCTCGAAACAGAGGAGTTCTGGGCAGGAGCTGGGCCTGATGACGACGACATGGACGACCCAGGCGCTGGGCCCTCTGACAAAGGGAAGCAGTCCACGGTGCCGACTCAACCGCCGGCCCAGCCTCCAAAGCAGCCCGTATACCCCGGCGACTATCCGCCGCCGGGGGAAAATTATCGACTACGATCCCTACCGCGACCACCGAACCCTCCGGTACCGCCCCACATGCCGTCGCCTCCGGATCCGATTCCCCCTTGGACGTTGGCCGCGGGGAAGGACAATAACCCGTGGAGCGACGTCAAACCAAAATTGATCACGCAGCCCGAATACTTCACCGGGGAATCCACGGATATCAACCGCTTCCTCCATCACTGCGAGATGTATTTTCAAGTATTCCCGGTCCACTTTACGATGAACGACCAGGGACAGAACCCCTACCGCATTACATTCGCACAAGGGTACCTACGGGAGAAGGCGAAGGAGTGGTGGGGTGACCAATACTACAAGTACCGGGACGACCAGGGGCATTGGAGATTCCCCACCTGGAACGAGTTCTCCCATGACCTCACGGTAGAATTCCGGGAAGTCGCAGAACTCGCCATCTGGAAGGCAGAATGGAAGAAGGTCCGTATTACGATTTCGCGCCATATCTTATCTTATCGACTCTCTCGTAATCTCGCTATGCTAATTCTCCAGACTTGATCGCATTCTAACATGAGGGTACAGCACGTTTACCGTACCATTGCAGACACTTGTAGTATATTTAGCACGACCCAAACTGTATTTAAGTAGCTCGACTGCAGGTCTTAAACCTCAGTCTCGAACTAAAGTTTATTCACCCGATAACTTAGTCTGAACTCACTCTCGCTCAACTAAGCTATAGCTCCCTTAACGCAAACCTGCGGACAACACAAAGCGCCTGACCGAAGTGCGAGTCACGCTTAGTTGTTTGATCTTGTTTGTTGTATCGGTCGCTAACAATTAGTTCGAGACTTTCTTACTCTTCATCAACAACCACGTTGACGAACAGTAACGAATGAACCCCATCGAACAATATCTCACCAACCTCTTTGGACTACAAGGCTTTGTAGCCATAGCCTATCTCGCATTCCTATATGGATACGAATACCGACGAAATGAGGAGCCAGTCTCCGAAGAAACTATCCCCGTCGAAGCCCCCAACCCAGAGGCTAGACGACCGAACACACCCCCTCCCGACTACGTCGACGATCGACCTATCATCCACTTCATTTACATCGCAGATGACGAGTGGATCACAGAAGACTCCGACACAAGCGAGTCCAGTGAGTCCGACTCCGAGATGGAAGGATGGCCCGCACAAAGAGGCCCAGTCATTGAAGAAGAAGAAGAGCAAGGAGTCTACGAACAAGGGGTGGACCAGCGTATTCTCTCTCCCATTACCGAGGAAGAAGACGAAGGGGAAGATGAAGGAAGTAACCCCTGGGACGCCCCTTCCCCCACCTCAACCGAAAACTCAGCCGCCAACCCTGGATATGATTCAGACGGACAGCGCCTCTATCAAAGAGGGCTTAGATATCATCTGGGAGAAAGAAGAGAGGCTGAAAATGGAACTGGAAGCAGTTCAGATGAAGAAGACAGCGATGCAGAGGAGGACGACGACAGCGACGAGCTCCCAGGGCCGCGCAACAACTGGTCCCCTCCCCGCCTCGATTCAAGAGGGGAAACGTGGGGCTACCACTACGCCCGCAGTGACTCCTCAGACGATGAAGGCAGCTACCTTAACCTCGTCACACGACCAAACACCCCGATCATCATCAACGATAGGGCCGGGGAAGCCACTACCGAGCTCGACCAGTGCGAGCCCACATACGACGCCGACGCCAGCTGCGATATATGCAGACGCACACAGGACTACGCCGACGCATGGAGAATGTACGAGGGAATTGAACCCCCCTCATCCGTCGTCCCATACGCCATCTACCCACTCACGGCCGAACACCCCCTTGCGGCCCCCGTTCCCTTCATCGCACCTTGGGTATGGGACCGACCCCGAAGACCCGACTTCGATCAGGTCGTCCTCAGGGTCAATGAGTGGGCCCGAATCATCAGAAACTGGAACCGTATCGTCACAGGAAGCACGGAGCCTTTCGAGCGAGTCCGACCTATCGGACTTAGAAGAAGGCGAAATCTACGAGAACCCTGGAATAGGGCGGACTTCGACTTACAGCAGCAGCATAGGGTCGGAGAATATGGAGAGGAGGATATTATCCCCAAATTCGTGGAAGGATCTAGCTCGGGAGCCTACTGAGGCCGAGCTAGAAAATATGACATATTTGGAAATGTTGCGATGGACTGAAAAGAAGTTACCACGGGAGCTGTCTTGGAACAGCTCACCGCAAGGAAGGTACTTCCAACAGGAAAAGAACTCCCAAGTTGGGGCCCAGGTGATCTACCGAGAGACCGTTTTTCACACAAACATTC